GGTCTTTGACCCTTGTAGTAGTTGAGTCCAAGGTCAAACATTCAGCATTTTAGACTACCAGGACTGCTTGAATCTCCTGGGGTATTTATTAAGCATGCTGCCCTCCTAGGGTCCCAGACATTGGGATCTTAATTTTTTAATAGGAAACTCCATAATTTGCATGTCTATTCATCTCTATAAAAGATCTTTAAAAATTTTATTAGTTTTTAATCTCGAGAACCACTGCATGGGTTAAAGCCAAACTGCCTCAGCTGCAGGTTTTCAAAGGTTGTAATCCAGGCCTAGGTCACACCAAATAGTAGGGAATGGATTTGTTCCATAGAAGGACAAGTTATTGTTTGTTTTTTTCTGACCTGAGAGTAGAAGAGCAGAGTAAAACCACGTAGGCATACTTCGAGACAATAGAACCAAATCAAAAGGAGGTTTAGAGCCTATGACTGGCAGTTTGATAGGGTTGCCAGATAAAATAGTGAATGCTCATTTAAATTCACATTCCAGATAAACAATGAATAACGTTTTGATAGAAGTATGTTCCAGGCAATATTTAGGACACACTTATGCTAAAACAGTATTCATTGTGTATTTGGAATGCAAATTTAACTGTGGGCATCTTGTATTTTTCTTTGCCAATTGGCAGTATAGGGTATTGATAAGCCCACCTTCCCCAAGGGAGGCAAACCAGATGGCGTGTGTGCACACATGCGTGTGCGTGTGCGTGTGCGTGTGTGTGTGTATGTGTGTGTGTTTCATGCTCAGAATCTATTTTCACATGCCCTGGGTTAAAAGTTACTAAAGATTGACTGCTTAATGTCATACTGAAATTGAAACATTGAAAAATTGAGTCTTTTTCTCTCTCTTACACACACATATATGCATGTGCAAATATAAACATGTATGTGCTTTAGAAAACCACCTGCTTGAATTTTATTTTTTTGTATTATGGTTTTTGTGTTGGGTTTTGGTTATTTTGTTGTTATTATTAAAGTAACATTATCTCAGTGTGTCTAGCATTTCTCTTGCTAACCATTCTTAATTCTTCATTTGCAGATCTTTCTTCTGGCTTGCCCTCCATGTCCTGGAGCTATTGTCGTCTTCAAGTAAGAGACAATTGGTTTTTGTTCTATTACCATTGCTATTTAGCCATTGCTATTCAGACTATTTTTGTCAGTTTGGTGACAAAAGATGGTGAGCATGTTGCTGTGAATACCTTGGGCTTTTACTGTTTTGTTTCTGGGCTTCCTCAGTGACCAAAAGTGTATGAAGGCTCACTGAATCAGAGAAATATTAATGGGTGGAGATAGGGTTGTTGTCTTTGTTTTTCTTTTTTTTTTTTTAAGAGAAATTTTTGCTATAGGGTGCATGTGTTTGCCAGAGAGGCAGAGAGAGACAGAGAGACAGAAAGCAAGAAATCACCTCTCAGGGATGATAGCCATGCTGCAATACCTTCTCCTTCAGTCTCCTCTCAGGATTTTGGGTACAGACGCACATGTGCTAGACGTGAGTTTTAACCTGCTGAGTCTGGGAATTGAACCATAGTTGACATGGGAGTCAAGTGACATAACCATTATGCCATCTGCTGATCTCATCTTTGTTTTTCTTAAATTGCCAGATGGCATATGTGTTCACCAGAGAATAAGAGGCAGAGAGAGAGAGAGAGAGAGAAAGCATCCCAATGACACATGGTCATGCCATAATCCCTTCTCCTCCATTTCTCTATCCTGTCAGAATTTTGGGTACATGCAACCATGTGCTTAGTGTGTTTTTCAAGCTGCTAGGGACAAGATTAGAACCATGATTGGGCCATGTGGGAGCTGGCTGCTTTAACCACTAGGCTACAGAGCTGACCCACAATACAGCTTTTGTCAGGCCCAGACAAATTATTTTTTAGCAAATCCTTATGGTGGTGGTTGTACAAGGTAGCGAGGGGATTGGTTTTCAAAAAGTTCATGGAAACTGCATTTTATGAAAAGAAATACTACGCATGGATTTGAATTTTTGTTTTGCACTGAAAGAAACTTGTACTTTAGTTTTACTTTTCAACAAAGTTTTTGAAGTCTCCTTGTACAGTCAAAGTATGCTCCATTGGAGGGTTGCTCTCTTTCTCAAGATTCTTTTGAGAGCATGCTTGGGACCAGATAGCTTCCCTTCTCTCAAGACTCTTTACATTGTGATCCTACTACTCCACAGAGAATATGGTTCTTCACGTTGAAGAATATAGTTCTTTGATTTTTGTTTGTATGTGTGTGTGTGTTTTTGTTGTTGTTGTTCTTAAAGTGCAAATTAAAGTGAAGAGAGAAAAATATCATCTTATTACAAGTCCGGACTTTCTTAAAAATAGAAAACATCAAATCCTTTAAATTGCAGTCAAATTGTGTTTCTCTGAAGGCAAGTTTACATAAATTAAATTATCAATAGTCCTGGAACCCTCATTTAACCATAAGTTGTGACCATCTCACTTATCAAACCTTTTATTAGAGTTGCTAATGAGAAGCTAAATTGACTGAATTAATTTAATCTCCCCCCCCCTTTCTTGGCCCATATTTTGGAGTTGTTTCTGAGCAATGAAATGGCCACAAGCCGAAAGGAAGGGACAGGAAGGAAAAAGCCTAGCAGATATTTGGATAATTGAGAGTGGTATAAATGGCTTTCTGATTTACTTAAATCATTAAAGTGTTAGGTAGGAGGGAAAAGACCCCATTTGCTTCTTCAAATAGCTCCTTGAAATAGCCATTTAGTCTCTTGCCTTAGGTGAGCAACTTTCTGCTGGGTGAAGGATAATGGATTCTGATTTCATATATTGCTTACTTGGACAGCTCCTAAGGCAAAGGGGTATTTAACCCTGTTTTCCACCCTTGGTTTTCCCAAATGATCTCAATTATTCACTGTAATGTTTTTAAGCTAGCACTTATTGGTTTTATTTTATTATTATGAAAATAACAATTCTCATTATAGAAAATACAAAGACACATAAAGAAGAAACTAAATATTAACTTTAATCCTTATCACCAAGAGATAAATTTGGTTATCACCTTTCGTTTTTTTTTAATAAGCAGAGATTGTATTGTATATTGAGGTGTTCACTTTATCTTTTCTGAGTGTGATTGTTTTTGGGGGGGGCGGGGAGAGGTTTTTGCTATAGGGTGCGTGCGCTCGCCAGACAGAGAGAGACAGAGAGACAGAAAGTGAGAAATCACCCCCCATTGGGGATGGCCACGCCGCAATCCCTTCTCCTCCATTCTCCTCTCGGGATCTTGGGCACGCATGCACATGCGCCTGGCGTGAGTTTAAGCCACTGGGTCCAGGATGTGAACTGCGGTCAACAACATGGGAGTCCAGTGACATAGCCATTACGCTAACTACTGGTCCCTGAGCATGATTTATTTTTAGTGGTCTTATTTTTTTCTTTTCCTTTTTATTGTTTTGATCCTAGCTATTTTCCACACCATCCCTGGATATTACCAAACCAATGTGTATTCTTCCATATTTTTCTCCATGAATATATGTATACACACACACATACATAATATACACACCTGGATTCTAAAATGTTGTATTGTTCATTGTTTGTCATGTAAGAACAGAATCTTATATATACTTTAATATGTTTTGCTTTTTTCACTGAATAATATCTCATGGAAATCTGTCCAAGTTTTTTGCTATGACATTCTTTTACTAGACTGCAAAATATTTATGGGCACATAACAATTTATTCAGCCATTGTCCTACTCACCCTGTTCATGAACATTTACTTTTGTTCCACATTTTTTCCACTATAATCACTGCTGAAGAAAACATTATGATATGCTAATATACACTTTTGCTTTCTATTTACATAGATAGATAGCTATGGATGTTTGCAATTTCTTTTATTTGTATCCCTACCAGCAATAGGCATAATGGTTCTTTTATAATTTTTACAACTTAATAGACGTAGATCTTTGTCTACTAGTGAATTTCAGAATTATCTCTTTTGGGGGGGCGGGGGTTGGGGGTAGAGGTTTTTGCTATAGGATGCATGTGCTCACCAAAAAGACAAGAGAAAGACAGACAGAAAGCAAGAAAT